TGTTACAAATGTGTGACAGACATAGGATTCAGACTGGCAATGTCAGACTAAGTTGCTCACAACTGAATTGATTAGTGTGACTGTCTTTAGTACATGATTTATTTTTACTGTATTGAAATGGGCTAAAGGGATATGGGCCAATCCTTTTATTAGCTTACGACAATAATGTTTGTTTGAATTTCAGTTTCTTTTTCAGTTTCTTGTAGGAAGATAAATTATGGAACTTCCCTTTAAAATGTTTAATATCTAAACCTACTTGCAAACAGCAATATGTTTGTTTTTTTTATCCCAAAATCTCAAAAGAAATTGAAAAACTGTGGTAAACTAAAATATCAACGTGTAAAACAGTAGGTACTTACACTGAATGGCTCTGAGGCGAGGGATCAGTGTAGGGCTGCTGGGAGGGCTGGAGTTGGTGCTGTTGAGGCTTCTTCTCTTGTCCATAGTCGGAGAGGCCTGAACTGTGATTTTATGCTGAAAATCTGTTGAACACAAATAAGGTTATCCCTTAGTAGTATTTAAATTACTTTAAACATTTCTACTTCAGCCACAATAACACTTCTCACATAAACGTCCTTCACAACCCTAATACTACAAGAGAAAATCTGTAAACAGTCATGATAAACAATTTATTGAGAGACATTAATGTAATATTCATGCTACACTACAAATTCATACAGCTCTAACCTGAGGGTAAGCTGATGCGGTTGCCATCTTTGAGCTTGAGGCGGCTGCGTTTGAACTTGCCCTTTCGTTTCTTAACATTGGGCTTGTCCTTGTTGAGTTGGAATATGAGGATGTTGAGCTCACGCTCAAGCACATTAATTTCCCGCTCAGCCAGCTGCTGTTCCCTCCTCTTCAACAGCTCTTCATGAGACTTCTGCTGAAGGGCTGCTCGCGTCAGCTCCTCTTCACGTGAACGGAGCTCCTGTTGGTGTGAAGAACATTCGTGATCAAGTACATTTGATGAAGAATCTATAAACCGTTTATCCAAACATGACGTAATGGTGGGGAATAATGATAGAATTTCCTTTTCGACTTGACTTAATTCCTTGAAATTATGACAAAAACTATGGCCAAGTTTTTTGATATACTGAACCACTGCCTAGGGA